TTATTTGAGGAAGGAGGAGTCAGGATGTGTCAGGTGTTACTGAGACCTTGGAATGTGGTGCTTCATGTTGACTTACATCTTTATATGGAAAACTTAAAAAAACTTAAAAACTTTATATGGAACCAAGTTTAATAAAAGTTGTGCTCAAGTTGTTCATTATAATCAGTTAAATCAAACTCTACTCCTGAGGTTAGAAAAACTGTTGAACTGATAAATATGCACATTTATCCAGTGAAAGGATTTCCTGCCCATGGCAGGAGAGTTGGAACTAGATKATYTTTAATGTCCCTTCTCAGTCAAACTATTCTATAATTCTATGATATTATTTAAAAACCAAATAAACCAAGTTTGTAAGTGTAAGAGCCAGTGTCCTAAATTCAAATAAATCTAGAGTATTGGCTGGTTTCAGCTGGGCAAAGTCAGGGCACTGTAGCTCTTGCTGAGCCAAATAATTTCTTTACGAGAAATGTCATGTAGCTGGAACCAGTTTTTGTCATCAAAAAAGGGAAAATATCATGTTTTTCACCAGCATAGCATGTATTAAAAAGAGTTGTTGCATGAGCTGTTTCCCTCCTGTCTCACTGGAACATTCAGATAAGACTTGCAGCTAATATAGAAAAGGATATGAAAGACACAGCCCCCTGTACTGTTACAATTAATTWTTTTTTGTGTAAAACACAGCAATTTATATAACCTCACAGTGTAACCTAAGAAGAATATGCCAGCTCGAGGCTATGTCCAGGGYAATTCAGCAATAATTTGCATAGATGTTGTCCTGGACTGCAAGTGATGCCTACATTAGTATTGACCACGTAGATTAGATAGGCAGATGGTGCCTGTGGTTTGYGCTGTGTTGACTATTTCAAATCAACACAGTTATCCAAAGAAAGCAATCAGGAGTGYAGAGGGCAGTTTGCTTTCTGCTGCCTCAATTCATTCAATGTCTCTTATCGTTGTCTTTGTTCTGTATTTCACTGGGACAAATTCAGGGAAACATTTTTGACAAAAAAAACCCCCAAACCCTTACTCCTTAAATATCTAGAGACGATCCAGCAGTAGTCTCTTAAGTAATATACCCTAAGCAGGGCATATAAGCTTGTGAAAGATTCAAGCCAAATTAGTTGATGTGACTTATGTAAAGTGGCAATGTGTTAAAAGTAAAAAACGCATTAAATACAGGAATAAAAGTCTGATTGGTAGCAGTATTTTTTGAAACTGTGTGAGTGTTTCAGCCATTATAATTWTATTTTACTATCATGATGCCAAGCAATGAAAATAGGAGGCATATTACCATTTTGTGTTGGCACARATGTTCCCAATKGTCATGACCTTTCCCTATCTTCCATTTGTACATAGTCAGCATTAGTCAGGAAATTATTTTCTGTAGGTGACAAGTAAAAGCAGAGCTAATTGGTCTTATTGCCTAAGAGAGAGAAGCTTCCTGTGTGCAGAGAACTGTTTACAGGAATGTAGGAGTGGCTACAGAGTTATATAATCCCAAAGCAGCAGCGCTAGTGAGAGTTTAGAGCGAGGTTACACTGTGCACAAGGTAGGTGGGTTTTTTACTTGGCCATGCAAAGGGAATTGTATAGGAAACTCTGTAAGTGAATGTCTTTTAAAGATTAAATGTATGTGTGTCCTTTAAAGATTAAATATATGTGTGTCCTTTCTTTACTAACATGGTTATGTGCCCCAAATGTTACCTTATTAGTCAGCTGCATTCGAGGTGTACAGAATTAAGAAAATGAAATGTAAATCTCAGGAGTGGGTGGTTTCACCTTCTACCTACTGTAGAGAAGCCGACATGTTATTTACAAGGGAAATACGGTTGGGGTTTGGCAATTATCCCTTTGCTGCTGTTAATGTTTTGTTGTTGACAGAGTGTCAGTCACTGTGAGTCTGGTGTAAACTGGGCGGAGCCTGTGTTTATGCCGCTGATGTGCATGCATGGTTCTGGGGGGGGTGGGTGATGGTCTGCCTGAAAACTGTTGCGGGTTAAAGTTCCTGCGTAGAAACTGTTCTTGCTTTCAGTTCCTGCCTAGGA